TGTTTATTTTTACATAATGAATGTGCCTTGCCCTGAACATAGCACTAACTTGGGTTAGAGAATAGGAGAAAAAGTAGGAGTTTAGCACTGCTTAGCATGAAGCAAACTATAGCAATTGTACTTATGTAGGCAGTAGGAGGTCCTTTGAGCACATTCTATAATCCTTCAGGGAAATCTGGAGCAGTATCCTGGGGCCACTTGGAGCATAAAATTTGAAATCAACAACAAACCAAGGATTTATTAAGAACTTTCCACAAGTCAGGCACTGTAATAAGTGATGAGACAAAAATAGTTCCTGCCCTCAAGAAGCTTACATTCTAACAGAAGAGACACTCTGCAAACAACTGTGTACATTCAGGATATATACAGGTTAAATTGGAGGTGAAGGCACTAGCAGTGAGGGGGAACAGAAGAGAAAAAGTGTCTTGTACAAGGTCAGAGATGAGCTGAGATTTGGTGGAAGCCATGGGAGCCAGAAGGAAGAGATGGGGAGGGAGAGCACTAATTACAAAATTATAACACTTTGTTCTTTAGATTCAGGTACTTAAGAGCATACATACGAATAAAGCCCGTAATTATAGAATATAAGATTTCTTCTCATAAGTAATATATTACAGACCTTAACACATGGTATAATCTTTAATAAGCAATGTCCCATAACGTATAATTATTGGTTCAGCTATTCAACAAAATGATAAAATCTATTAGCCAACCCCAGTCTTGCTAAGTCTCTCTGTGACACCTCTAAGAGCAATGCAATCATTCTGAAGTTTGAATCCTTTGAAGATCAGATATCTCGCCTCTCCAGGTGATATGCTCCTGAATTTAGAGCTGAAAGGGTCCTTAGAAAAGATCTTTTCCAACCCCTTCAACTTTACCACTGAGGAAAATAAAACTCAAAAGGGTTAACTAATTCACCCAAGGTCTCCCAGAAGGTATCAGAGCTAGAATTCAGTCCTAGCTCTCCTGATTCTAAGTTCAAAGCTCTGTCTATGAAACATGGTAACAAAGTCACTTTTAACATGAGGACCATTTTAGGTGAGACCAAATGGATATTTCTTCTCCAGACAGAAACCAGCAAAAATGTTTCTACTTGATTAAATCTGGCCAGAAGGGAAGAAGCAGTAAAGAGGCAAAAAAAATGTATATGTGTTTGTGATGGGGATTATCAACCAGATTTGAGGCTGCCAGGAACTAGCAGATGGCTGCCTGAACTGAGGAAGACTGCCTAGCTCCCATAGATCTTTTCTAGTAAAAACCTGAAATTTGCACCAGCCTGAAAAATGATGAGGAAATCTAACGAGAAACTACAATAAGTGACTTATTCTCTCAAAACTACACAAATAGCCAACCAGAAATTTATAGGTAATAGGAAAGGGAGATACCAGCAAAACCAATACCAGCAGAGGCAAACAGGCCAGTGCCCTTCTGGCGTTGTCAGTGATACATTTAGCCTTTAAGTCTGTGTGCAGAGCCGGCAAAAAAAAGAGGAAGCCCCCAAGAAAGCCTTGGGGTGGTCAGAAAGCCCAAGAGGGGTCAGAAAACAGCGGGAACTTAGAAAGTCATTAGATACGGCAGAGATGGGTGTGACACATAGGCACTCAAACCTGGATAGGTCCCTAACACTCTGTCCTGCTATTCCAAATTGGGTCCTGAAGATTCAGTACTCAGTAGATCTCTGAAACATAAAGATCCAGGGGAGGCCTAAGCCCAGATGGTAGAGGACAGCACAGGATCCAGGGGACCTAAGATAACAACAAGTAGGGCCCACCACCCCACCCAAAAGCACAGAAGGGAAGAGAGTCTGGCTCTTGCAGAAAGCTCTAATTCAAAACATTAAAGTTGGAAAGATGAAAAAACAAAAAAAAAAAAAAAAAAAAGAAAGAGAGAGAGAGACCAAAGATGACAGAGACAGAATATCAAAAATTATTGTAGGTCTAGGGATGCCCTGAAATCCAGATTGTAAGGAGAAAGTCACTACATAAAGTATGTAAATAAAGACTCTAAGAGAAAAATGAATTTTCCAAAATGACAATGCAAATATCTAAAAGAAATTAAGTAAGACATAAAAGTAAAATAAAAAGCTCTGGAGGAAAAAACTGAAAGGAAAATAAATAACTTAGAAAAGAAAATGGTAAACCTTCCCCAAGAAATGGACTCCCTGAAAACTAGAATAGACCAGTAGACCAAACAGAAATCAATGACTCCAGAAAACAGCAAAAAATATTAGAGCAAAATCAAAAAGTTGGAAAAAAAAAAAAGAAGAAAATGTTAGCTTATATTTTTTAAGTGATTTGAAAAACGACTGACTTGGGAAACAAGTCAAGAGAAAGAATTTAAGAATTATTGAACTCTTTGAAAACAATTTCTTTTTTAAAAGCTAGACTCTATAGTTAAAGAAATCATAAATGAAAACTACCCAGAGCTCTAGGAACCAGAGGGCAAAATGAAATTAGAAAGAATCCTGAAAGTTATCCCAAAAAAGAAAAGTTCCAGGACTTTGGCAATGTTATTGCCAAAATCCAAAGTTAAAAAAAAAATACTGCAAGCATCCAGAAAGAAATTCATGTACCAAGGAAATGTGGGCAGAATTACATAAGACCTGGCAACAAGAAGAAATACTGGAATACAATATTCTAAAAGACAAAAGAGATAGGCTTACAATGAAGAATAATTTATACTGCAAAACCGAACATAATCCTATGGGGGGGGGATGGAGCTTCCCCAGAATACATTTTCAATCTTTTTTGATGGAAAAAAAAAAACCAACAACAAAACTAAGCAGGAATTGTGAAATACAAACACAAGAATCCAGAGTAACCTAGAAAGGCAATTTAATTTGAGCAACTGGAAGAGGCTACATGATGATGTTAACATTCTAAAGGGGGAGAAGAAACAAATGTCTATTCTGGACCTTAATGTCTTCAAAGGGCATTAAGAAAATTAAATTAAAAAAAAAAGCTCTTGGGGTAGACAGGTTCTGTTCTAAGAATCTGAAGAGGGAAAAGGGAAGGGCAAAAGAAATAAAGTGCTTTAGAAAGTTGGGGAAAAAAAGCATTGAACTTCCCAGTCCTCATAATTCAGATGTATGAGAAGAGTATATAAATATGGAGGAAGGGGTCTCTCTTATCTGAAACAAAAAAGGGGATAAACACACTTATACATAGACACAGTGTGATGTAGAAACACTTCAAACTCAACAGAGACTTAAACAAGGATGAAGAAGAATTAAGAGTAAGGATAATAGTGAAGAGGGATTAGTAGCAAACAAAACAAATTTCCTAATCCTGAGGGAGATTGAAAAGGGAAAAAGAAAAGGACTAGAAAGTAAGAGGAGATTTGTTAATCTAATAAGGCAAGGGTTCTTAATTTTTTTTTTTTTTTTTGCACAAACCTCTTGGAGTCAGTGAAGAGATTTCAGGGAATTGTGAATGTAGAAGGAAAAAAAATACATTTTTATTTTCACTGACTTCTAACTGAAATTCACTATTTCCTTCAATTAAGAATTTAAAGGGGGAAAAACCTTATTCTGAGAGGAGATACATAAACGTAATAGAATATTATTGCTCCATAAGAAAGTATGAAAGGGATGAATTCAGACAGTCCAAGGTAGTACGAACTAACATACAGTGGAGTGAGCAGAACCAGGAGAACAATTTATACAAAGATGACATTTTAAATAAAAAGTAACTTTGAAATATTTGAGAACTTTGATCAATGCAATGACCAACCACGTCTCCAAAGGACCTATGAATCCTGCTGCTCGACTGTGCTTATGTGTCACAAGGTTTTTGTTTTTTTTTCCCTCCCTTCTGGGTTCTTAATTGGGAGGATGAGGATGGAGAGAAAATAGTAATAGCAATGTCCAAAATATTGAAATATTTTTAAAATGTACAGGAGACCAGAAGGAAATATAAATAAAGCTGGACAATTTTGAAATTAATATGTGTAATTTGTTGTATATTTTTAAAATCAAGAATATAAATACAAAGCAAGCAGTATGAGATTTACAGTCTCATTTGCAACCTCTTTCAATCAAAGGTGAGAGGCGGGGGAGGGAGGGGAAGAAGCATGTATTAAACACCTGCTGCTTTAAAAAACATTTCATCATTTGAGCCTCACTACAACCTTGCGAGGTGGTCGCTGTTATTATCCTCATTTTACAGCTGAGGAAACTGAGGTTAAGTTCTTTGCCCCGGGTCACACTGCTAGGTTTTGAACTCGGGTCTCACTGAACTCAGTTCTGGCCACTAGCCACTAAGTGGCTACTGCACCACCTAGCTGATACTAAATTGCAGCCAACTGTCAGCTCCTGACTCCCCCTACAATAGGTAGCTCTCTTTTCACTGTTTTACATCAGTCCTCTCTGGGCCTCAGTTGGACTAGACATTTAAACCCTCCCAGCTCTAAACCCGGGGTACGCAGCCCCAACTTCTCGCACGTTTCAATCACGCAGGATGTGACCGTCGGCGTCACTGCCCGAGCTTCGCACGGTTGGTGGGCTCAGGTTTACGGCCCCTTTATTCCGGGGCTGCTGAGGCTCAGGGGAGCAAGGGTGGCAGGGACAAGACTTCCCACTTACTTCCTCCCATATGAGGAAGAAACGGGAGCGAGATGAGTAGGAACTTAAATCTGAGGGCACCGTTTCCGGTCACGAGACCCATAGACCTAGTCTCACCGTCGGTCTCCACTACTTCCGCCCTGAGTCGAGCGAAGGTGCGAGGCGTCAGTTACTTCCGCCCGGAGTCGCCCGCGGATGCTGGGCGTCAGCTGCTTCCGCCCGGAGTGGACAGCCTCCTGGAGATGTGCGGGGCCTGAGATCCCGTGTCCTTACCTGCTCTGCGGAAGAGGACCCCCTCCCCCTTGGGTTCCCTCAGACGGGGTTGCCGGGGGAAGCAAGCTCGTGGCCGTTTGAGACTCCGGCTTGGGGCTGGTGTGGGAGGCAGAGCCTTCCGGACCAGGCCCGCGGGGCCGGCCGGCGGGAGCTTGTGGGAGGAGGGAGGAGAGGAAGGAGCAGGCCCTTCCGCTAACCCCGGCCCCGCCGCGCCTTCCTCGGGCTTCGGGCCGCCATGGAGTTTGCAGAGCTGATCAAGACTCCGCGAGTGGACAATGTGGTGCTGCACCGGCCCTTCTACCCGGCTGTGGAAGGCACGCTGTGCCTGACCGGCCATCACCTGATTCTGTCCTCCCGGCAGGACAACACCGAGGAGCTGTGGCTGCTCCATTCCAACATCGACTCCATCGAAAAGCGGTGAGTTCAGCTCGAAATTGCCCTAGTGTGAGCTCGGACAGAGGACCTCTTCGGGCCTCAGTTTCCTCATCTGTTAAAAGGGAGTTGGAGTAGGTTGATCTCAAAGGCCATTTCTAGCTCTACCCCCAATTTATTCTGCCTGTATCTTATTTGTACACATTTATTTGCATATTTCCCTCCACTGTTGTAAAGCTTTTGCGTTTAACCTAACTTAGTAGACGTATCAATATCAATATTGTATCTCCAGCGTCTACCCTGGAGGCTGGAGTAAATGCTTAAGAAATTGAGGGAGTAGTTCTTCTCTTGTCTCCAAAGCAGCTTCTGAATTCCTGAAGAAGATGCCTTTTCTGGACTTTCCTTAGGATCAGAATTGTGTGAAACATGGAAAGTAGAAAAAACAGCCTAAGAGGGGAACCTAGTTCTAGGCCATCTGCATATCACAGACTTGCTGCACATCGGTTATTCTTAACCATTCTATTTTAACTTCATTCTGAGGCATAGCATCAAATGGATTCTTTATTAACCTTCATCGGTTTTGATTATACACCAATTTCTTTATCTGTTGTAAAACTGAGATAGTAATGCTTACTTGCATATTGCCTCAGAGGTAATGTAAAATCTATACAATGCTTTTGACAACTTTTGAGTAAGACTGTGGAACTTTCCTTTCTAAGACCTGTCTGAACCATCAGTCTCAGTCTCTTGTTAGATTATCTTGCTCATCTGTCACTTGACTAGCCTGTTATACCCCCAAGTGATGTTTATATTTTTAGCTTATAGCTTTAAATTTCCTCCTGGATAGCTAGTTAATATTAGCTATGCAAGTCATTTCCTTTTTTTGTCTTGGGTCCACTTTTCTTCTATCTTGGTCAACTTATCAACTCCAGTAGGTTCAAGTATCTTTTCTAGCCTGACCACTCTCAGATCTACATCGAGCTGTAGCCTCTTTATTGGACTTCAGCCCCACATCAGCAACTCCCTATTGGACATTTGGGTTGGATAACCTATAGACATCTCAAACTCATCCAAAATATTATCATTATCTTTCCTCCTCCCCCTTCCTCCACTTCTCTAATGAACTTTCATATTTCTGTCAACACCACCACATCTTCGAGTCAGCCCAGTTCAAAATCTGAGTCATTCTTGACCCCTCATTTTGCCTCACTCCATGTATCCAGTTAGGTGCCATCTCTTATTTCTGCCTCCACAACCTCTCACATCTGTTCCCTTCTCTCCATTACTAGTTCAGGCCCTATATCCTTTGGATTCTTGGTAGCCTTCTAATTGGTTTCTCCATTTTTCAGTCTTTCCCCTCTTCACTCCAACCTCTACACCAGTGGTGTCAAACTCAACAGAAATTGATTGACTTAGAAAACCATAAATGAACATTGTCTATTGTATTTTTATTTAGTTAAACATTTCCCAATTACTACCTTTTAATGTGGTTCACTCATTTGACACCTCTGCTCTACACAGCCGCTGAAATAATATTCCTAAAGCACTTTGTCACATCCCTTTCATAAATTCCAGTGGCTCTTTTTTATCTGTAGGATCAATAATAAACTCCTTTGGCCTTTAAAACCCTTTGTAACCTGGCTGCCTTTCTAGACCTGTTGTACCTAACTATTCTGCACACACTATCTACGGTTATTCCAAATTGGCTTTCTTGTTCTTCACACAGGGCATTCCATCTCCTATCTTCTAGCCTTTGCTCAGGTTGTTTGTATCACTGTATTATTAGGTGAGATAATACAATTTTTATAATCGACTACTTCTGCTTTCACTGATAGAAAAAGGTCTTCCTTAACAGGTTCTGTCCTAGGCAGAATTGTGAAACAGAGACCATTTAGTTCCTAGTCACCTCTCACTTCTGCAATCTTAAGACTATCTTTAAAATTAAAATTCCTGTTACCTCTCAGAAATTAGACTTGTAGAATGTTGGAGGTGAAAGGGATTTTAGACATCATCTAGTCCAGCCCCTTCATTTTGTAGATGAGGAAACTGAGGCTCAGAAAAAGGAAGTGATTTGCACAAGTAATTTTAGTATTAGTTAGTCCTAGCTGTCCAGGAGGAAATTTAAAGTTATAGACTGAACATTTATGTTTCACAACATCTTGATGTGTTTTGCATACAGGGAACACTTAGATTTTAACAAGGATGTTTAGAAAAGCAGTGCCTTAGGTGAATATCTAATGGTGAAATTTCTGGTGGGAGAGATTATTGGTGAATTTAGGAAGGCCACTTTTCCTCCAAATCATACAATGTAGTAAAATGGCTACTCAGGAGACCTTGTTTCCCAGTATAAATAGTTGTAACTCTTGTCCCTGGCCTTTTTTGCTTCTTTACTTCAAATATTTATCGTTTGCCCCAAAATTGAGTGCCTGTGTATCTGTGTGTTAGTGCTAGGCACTGTAGAGTTTCCAAAGAAGAGGTATAAAGACTTTCTACTTTCTCTGCACCCACACAAGCTCTTCAGCTTATACTCCAGTAGAGGAGACAAGATACACAACTAATAAAGCCTTATTTCAGTCCTCCCTTTCTCATTATCATCATAACTATTCTTGTTACATTGCCTCTTTCAATGCCTTTGGTTTTTCTTCCGCCAGCCTTCCATTCAAGGAGAAATAAAAAGGATCATAAACTCCAAACTAATGGAGATATTTTTCCCCATGTTGCTTGTTATTTTTTACATTTAATAAGAGGTCTAACTTCGTGTTTATGTCAGTTTCTTTTGTCATGGTTGTATTTGAAATTCCATTAATTTGGTGCCTAAGTGACATTGTCATTTTCTTTCTTTCTTTCTTTCTTTTTTTTTTTTTTTTTTGGTCTGAATCTCTGATTTTATCTGTGTGGAAACACCTTCCACTGATGAAGATCTTCCAAAAGTACACTTTGAATTCTTCAAAGCCCTGGGAAAGAGTATTGAGATCCTTGTGTGGAAGGTTCTAAAAATAGTCAAGGATCTACATCTCTTTTAAAACCATTTCTTCTGAACTGACTTGATGACAGTACCCACAAGTTTTCTTAGTTGCTAATAGTCAAGAATTATAAGAATAATAATAATAATAATTAATAGCTAATGCTTACATAGCACTTACTATGTGCTAGGTCCCATGCAAAGAGCTTTACAAATGTTATTCATTTGAGAATCAGAACAACTCTGGGAAGTAGATGTTATTATTATCCCTATTTTACAGTTGAGGAGACTGAGGCAGATGGCAGTTAAGTGACTTGCCAGGGTCACACAGCTAGTAAATATGAGGACAGATTTAAAGTCAGGTCTTCTTGATTTCAGGCTCAGCACTCTGTATACCATGATACCACCAGCTGCCTAACTGATAGTAATGCATTTGCAGTGGGAATTTTGTAGGGGTAAAACCTGATCTTTATGGTGGTATACATAAAAACATTTTACCTAGAAGCGGTTGCTTTCTCTTCTGGAGTCCTCTGTACTGATGGAAACTGAATAATGGCATAGACTGTAGGAGCTTGATGGCCTGGGGACTGGGAATTCTCTCCTGTTCCTTGAGAGCAGTGTAGTAAAAATTGTATAGTAATAGTTTCAGGTTAACAAACATCCTTATTATATGGCAATTTTTTTTTAAACTATTAGAAGTTTGGAGTTTTCAAATTCTCTTCCTCAACTTTATATGCCTCTATAGAAATCTATTGGTTAACCTGTAAAGATATTATGTATTAATTTGGCTTAATTAATATTATACAATACCAGAAATGGAATTTTTTAAATTAGGCTATTATTTATAGTCTGAGGCATTTTGGATTTCAAGAAGGCTGACCAGTTTTAAATTTGCTTTTTACATAAGAGAATAAACTTAGTAGCTGGGAGAATATGGGACTTACATGGAGGGGCTAAAGAATAAGGAAGCTGGTTAATTGTTGGAGGGAAGGGGACAAATAGGAGAGAGTGAGCATTTATATGGCATCTACTCTGTGCTGGGCACTGTGCTGAGCACTTTTTTTTTTTTTAAAATAAATGTTATCTCATTTGATCCTCAATATAGGAAGCTTCTTTCTTTATCTTTACAAATTACATTTTGTAGGGGAAATGAGAGGATTAGTTAAGAAGTAACCAAAGAAAGAAATAAGATAATTTTTGAATTTCTTATTCTTTGAGTTTTCCTGGTCTTAAAAGAACATCAAATACCTAACACTGAACCATTACAACAGCAAAGGCTAGTTTCTTATCTACTAACAGTTTATTCTCTCTATTAGATTTTAAGCCACTTAGAAGGAGTCTTATTTATCCTTGTATCTCTCCTAGTGCTTAGTAGACATTTAATAAATGCATGAACAAATGCATGAAAATATCCAAGTGCTTTTATGTCCAAAGCCTCTATCATTAATGTTAACTCTGTTCCTCGATGGATAACCCACAAGAATAGTACATTGTAGATCTAATTAAAGTATATTATTTATATAAAGTAATCCAACAATTTTTTCCTTGGCCCTGTCTGTATAGTCATTTTAATACTGAAACTACCTGATTAATCACTGGGGTTGTTTCTTCTTTCTCCCATATATTCAGTGTTACTAAATACTGTTAATTATTGTTTTGAAATATCTTTTATATCTGCCCATTCTCTATCCTCATTGCTATCACCCTAGTTCATGACCTGATGACTTTATACTTAGACTACTCTAACAGCTCCTTAACTGGTCTTCTTTCCTTTAGTGTCTTCTACCTCCAATCTGATGTATATTATTATTTGATTAATTTTACTAACTCCTGAACCCAAATATCCACATTTTTCATGAACTTTCTGGTCCCTTTCCTTCTATCATTACCATACCCATTCCTAACTATAAACCTTTGCTTATATTAATTAGTGTCCTAGATTAAAATATTATTTTCTTCTTCCCAGTCATAGCCATCCTTCAGGGCTTAGCTCAAATTCTGTCACTTTCATGACAAAGATAGCATCAAAAATTGTTCATGGGAAAGAGTTGGGATTGAATATTGGCAAAGGAAAAGTCCTGAGATGTCAGCAAGAAAATCTCTTAATACAATAAAACTTAATTAATTTAGACTTCACTAATTTAGATTTTTATAACTAACATGGGGCCTTTCTGAAGTTTTTTCTTGTTTTATTAAACAGTTTTTTCCAGAGTACAAAGAGGTATAAATAAGTTTGTGGAGGAATTATACTGAATTTTGGAAGTATCTTTCAGGAGTAAACGGTTATGATAAGTCGTTCTTACCTATTTTTAAAATCAAGTCTCCTATGTGAATTAGCCTAATTTGAATTACTTTGTGTATATTTTAAAGTAACATCATATTCATTTGAAAATACTTTTTAGTTCACACATTTTATGGATGCCCTTCTCCCAATTAGTCTGTTTAGATTTTATTGTATGGCACATCTTTTCAGAAAGAATACTTTATTAGAAGTTATTAGAAGTGTTGAATAGTTAGATGAGTACTTTCTCACAGATTGGCGTTTTCTTCTTAAAACGATGTTTCTATTTGTCCTTGAGCATGGCGTACTATATTTCAGGTTCGTGGGATCATTGGGTACCATAATTATAAAATGCAAAGATCTGCGGATTATTCAGTTGGACATTCCTGGAATGGAAGAATGTTTGAATATTGCAAGTTCCATTGAGGTAAGAGCTCTGTCAAAGAAGCTTTGGTTGAGGAAATAAGAAAAAAGAATCTTTCTTAAATCCAGGACAACTGCAAATAATCGGGGTCCTACTATCTGACTTAGATAGCTAACGCATCTCTTAGTGTAATGTGTTCTTCTTTGTAAGGTTCAACATTTATCTTAAGTTCCTAACCCTGATTCAGTGTTATAATCATATTCCAAGAAATTATTGGCTTCTAGGAAGTTTTAATTGTGTTCATCTGAAGTGAAAATTCCCCATAAATTCTTTTTGGAGTCTCAGTTCTGGCACTGACTCTTTCATTTTGGAAGTTGCTTGCCCTTTTTGACTGTCAGTTTCCAAATCTTTAAAATGGAGCAGTTGGCTTCAAGTTATCAAAAATTATGAAAAGCAAGAAAATACAGTGCTGGTAGGGTTGTGAAAGAAGCAGTATGGCTTTATGACTAGTAGAACTGTGAACTTTTAGAATCTTTTTGGAGAACAATCTAGCAGTACACAGGAAAAGTTATAAAAATAATTATTCTGACTTAGTAATTCTGCTGATGAGACTATACTCTGAAAGTGTTATAAAAACAAATCAAAAAGAAATATCTGTTCAAAGATTTTCATGGCACTATTATATAGAATGGGGGAGGGGAGGCAACAACCTAAATTTCTGACATGGAAATACTTAAATAATAAGCTCAAAATGTATGTCTGACCTAAATGTTTAAAGTCAGACCATAAAAAATTTCAGAACACAGATCAAGTACCTTTCATAGTGATAGTTAGGGAGGAAATTCTTAACCGAAGGAAAAAACTCTATCATAAAAGATAAAATCAGGAATTTCAGTAACATGATACTGAAAAGCTTTTGCAGAAACAAAATCAAGGTAATTCAGGTAAAAAAGGAATCTGTTGATTTGGGAGATTCTTGAGGAGTATAGGTACAAAAGGGAGGAGAGTGTGCAAAGATAAGTGATGGGGACAGATCGATCAAGTGAGGTTTTTTTGAGAATAGGGGAGATACAGGCATGTTTATAGGCAACAGAGAAGTAGCCAATAGACAGGGAGAGACTGAAGATAAGTGAGAGAATGGGGATGTGAGAGGGGGCAATTGGCTAGAGAAGGTAGGATGGAATATTATCACTTTTACATGTGGAGGAGTTTGCAAACCACCTCGTAATGTAAAAAAAGAGTGCAGGAGGGGAGATAGTGGCATAAGGTATATGGGTAATACGAGATGAGGAGAAAAGAGAGAGCTCTTGATAAATGGCTTTTTTTTTCCCAGTTAAATCTGAGACATGGTTCTCAGCTGAGAGGGTGGGGATAGGGAAGTAAAGATCAGTGAAAAGATTTGGAGGATCCTCTGTGGTGAGATAGTGAATTAATAATCCAAGTTATATAGGAAATTAACACAAATGTGTAAGACAAGGGTCAGTACCCAATGGTTTATGCCCAGGGTATGAACACACAGTTCTCAAAAAAACTGCAAACTATTAATTACCATATGAAAGATTTTTCCAAGTCACTAATAATAGGAGAAATGTTAATCAAAATAATTGTGAGATTTTACCTCACAGCTAGGAAATTAAAGTTGACAAAACATAAAAATAGATTGATAGGCTTGTAGAAAGACATACATACTGTGTTGGTGGTTTGAATTGGTTCAACCATTCTAGATACCAATTCAAAATTATGCAAAGAAAATTACTAAAATGCTCATATTCAGAGAGAGTCCATTGCTAGCCATATATTACAAGTTCAGAGATAGAAAGAAAGGTCCCATGTACACTGAAATTTTTATAGCAGCTTTTTTGTGGTAACAAAGTACATGTCCATCAATTGGCGGTTGGCTAAACAAGTTATGGTATGTGAATGTTACAAAATATTCACCAAAAGAAACAAATAACTATGAAGAATTCACAAAAAGCAGTCAGTTAAATGATGATGCAAATTGAAGGAAAACATACATAATGATTATAATCTAAATTTTTTTTAAAAGTGGTAACTAAATGCAGTATAATTACAATGAGCAAGGCTGACTCTGAAGAAAAGAGAAAATGCACTTGTGTCCCTTCTTTGAAGAGGTAGGCAGCTTGATGCAGAACATTGCCTGTAATTTGAGACTTGGTTTATGCATTGATTTGTTTTGAATAACTGCTTTTTTTCTTCTCTTTGTTAAAAGAGATGGCTCTCTAGGTAGAGAAAGAGGAGGAACAAATTTGGAAATGAAGGTGACTTAAATACAAGATAGTAAAGTTTTTCAAAGTTGTCCATTAATACTATGTGATGAAATTAAGACCAAGTATTAGGAATATCAAGAAATCTGGGAGAAACTTTTATGAAATAATGCAAAGTGGAAAAAACAAAACTGGAAGAAACACTCATGACCACTTGAGGAAAAGTGAATGAGAATGAATGGACCAAAAATTCTGATGGGGTTTTAGAAGTTAACGAAATACTATTGACATACATCTTATGTTCAAATTAATTTAAATGCAAATAGTTACAAAACAAGTTGAATTGTATTGCTGGTCACAGCTAAATTTTTAATAGAACATTAAAAAAAAGTAGAGGCATTGGAACTTGGATGATCATTGAAGTCTTCTTTAGTATTCTGTGACATAACAGTTGCTGAGTTCCATTTGTTTTTCTTTTGAGTATGCCATAAGAAACACAATTCGAAATAAGAACTGCTTGTTTACTTTGACTTATTATCTTTTAGGGAAAGACTTTTGGCCTCTTAAATTAATTCCCTACATGTATCTTGGACCTTTATCAGAGATAGGTAGTATATAGATTTTTTTCCCCAGTTAGTTGCCCTCTTATCCTGGCTATGTTTTATTTATGCAAAAGCTTTTCAGATTCACATTTATTTTATCCTTGTGATCTCCTTTCTCCCTTTTTTAGTTAAGGATTCTCTCCTAGTTATATTGTGAATGGTATCTCCATCCATTTTCCTCCTCGGTTTTTTTTTTTCAATGATATAACTTTTTATTTAGGGATCTTTTGCTATAGAGATTTCGTTGTGAGACATGTACTCCCGTAATTTAAAAAAAGAAAAGGTCCTATATGCACCAAAATATTTATAGCATCATGTTTCCTACTGGTATCTGGAAACAAAGTAGATACCCATAAATTGGGGAATAACTAAAGATGTGGAACATGAATGTAATAAGTTATTTGTATGTTGTAAGAAATGATGAACACAGAGAAACATGGATGATAGACTTGAGTGAACTGATGAAAAATGAAGTAAGCAGAACCAAGAAAACAATTTGTACTCTAACTACAGTAATATATGTGGAATGAACAACAAAAACTTATTGCTATGAATTTATAATGACCAAATATGTAATGACTATCACAAGAAGAGATATGAGAATTCAGCTTCCTTCCCTTTTTTTATTTTATTGTTTTTGTTTTTTTACTGGGCAGTGGGGTTAAGTGACTTTCCCAGGGTCACACAGCTAGTAAGTGTCAAGTGTCTGAGGTCAGATTTGAACTCAAGTCCTCCTGACTCCAGGGCTACTTTTCTATCCACTGCACCACCTAGCTGCCCCTTTCCCTCCTTTCTTTATAGAGGATGAAGGAAACGTAAGTATGGAACACTTCATATAATATATACTTGGTTAATATGTTGGTTAGTTTTGAACTATTTCTTGCCTCTATTTTCTTTGTTATGAGAGGTGATTCTCTCAGAAGAGGAAAAAGCAATAGTTAAGAAATAAAAGTGATGTAAAAACTTTTTTTTTTAAACCAATAAAGACATTTAAAAGTACTGGTGTACCTGGCTTTATGCAAGTAGACATGTACCTAGAAGGTTAAATGTAAATCAAATTGAGGTATCTCATAAATGCATTAGGGGAGTTTGCTATTTAAAGGTAACTTACCGTGAATCCTTTTCTAATGCAAACAATCTTTTTTTTGTAAAGTGAATAATCCACCCTTATTTATCTTATCTCTTTTTGTTAACCTGCTGTGTGAGTAATTTAAAATTTATTCTGAGATACCACATACAATATGTTCCATTTAAACCAATTCTTGTGGTCCACTTTTGATTTTTAAATTGTCTTAAAACATTGCAACCAAATTATAGCAATTAACATAATATGCATTATATTTTTCTGAATAATTTTAGAAATACATTGATTATTTTCTCTGATCTTCCATTACTCGTCTAAGTACAGGTTTTGTGTTGAGAATGTTATTGCCCCTTATATTAAAAAGGGACAGGAAGAACAAACTACTATTAAAAATTTTCATGCCTTAAAAAAAATGTTTCCATAACACAATGAATAGAGGAACTGTGATCATGCTGAATGTATTTGGGATGTTATTTCTTTGTTTACACTGGGCAACTCAGTGAAATGTAAATAAGAATTAAAAGGTAAACTGGTGCGTCTTCATTTAGATCCATTGTGTGGTTATCTAGTGAATTTATAGGATCTTAGATCTGGAACCAGAAAAGATCTCAGAGGCCATTTTATAGATGAGGAAACTAAGGCTCAGGAGATTGAATGGCTTGCCCAAGATCCTACAGGTGGGATTAAAAGCAGGGTTTGAATCTTTCCCCTGCACTGTAAGTTGAAATAGTTGGTACCACTTCTAGAATGAGTCCACTTAATAAAGAAGTAAATGTCAAAGTATCAGATTCAATCAATGGAGTTATCTTTATAGAGAAATGTACTGCTATCTTGCTTTCATAAGATATATTTTGTTCCAGTATTGGGATCGGATTTGTATTTATCTATCTATACTATTACCTGGTCTCCCTTATGCATGCATGCATGCATTTGTGAGATCTGTTTGTCTGGATTTGAAGATGTTACCTCTAACCAAGCTTGTTGTAACATTTCCACGTAAGGATTCCATGACTTTGGCTACCTTAAACTCGATATGCTAACCAGTTTGTCAGCCATAGACATTGAATTAAGCCAGCTGGTTATTTTGGCTACATTAATTGCCATGGACCTGGGAAGGAGCTCTGGGGTCATCAAATCCAGCACTTTATACCT